TTTGGGGTATGATTTGCCGCCACCAGGGGCGTTCCCCGTCCAAAGGGGGTGCCCCCCCCCCTTTTTTTCGAGGGATTTGTGACAAGCGGCGTTTTGGTGGCAGGGTTTGACGGACGACGGAGCACGCGAAAGAGCGGTTGCAGCGACGGACTGGCTTGACCGTGGGGGTAGGCATGGCGAGTGCCCAGCACGGGCCATGGGGGGGGGGGGGCGGGGGGAGGGGGGTTGACCACGTCAACCTGAGATGGCCTTTGCATTGCTGGTGCAGTTTACGAACACAGGGCGGTGAGTTTGATGTGTGGAAGTTTTTTTTATTGAGTCAAGTTTGGTTGGTGACAGTGTGTGTTTCGTGCCGTATGATTGGAATGCGAAGCCCCCGCGATCGACAGCCAGCGTTTCTTCATGCCCTTGTCCTTTTTATCTTTTTGTGATGCCCTCGTCCGTAGATTCTCGCAACATTGTGACTTGTTGATTACTTGGAACAAAACCACGGGCAGAAGTAATGGTATCCACATCGTTTTTGGGGCTGGGTAAGGTGCCGAGTGGATACGAGAGGGCACTTGTCGCGGAATGTGTAGAAGGCATCTGAGCCCATACCCCGGTTTGACTTTTGTGGATCGGATGGTGGCGTGAATACGGCATCCAAAGATTCAAGAGGGTCAACACTTATTGTTCAACACTATCCTCTTTTTTTTCAGCTATTATAGGTCCCGAGGGCGCCACGAGTGTCGGGACCAGTAAATTTCGTTGCCATAGAACAGAAATGGCTTGCCAGTACAAGGAAACGAAACAGCGCACGGGGGGGAGGGGAGACTTTTTCTGTGTCAGGGGAGACGAAATCTGGGTTGTATGTAGCCTGCTGATTTATTTATCAGGGTTGTAAGGGGTTGTAAATCGTCCGTTGGTTCCACCTGGGAACGGACGGGCTGGTTCACTTTGTATGTTTATGTTGAGATTGCAGTGTGTTGTGGCAACTACGGCGTTCAGAACGTTAGTCTTTTGCGGCAAGGATTATGTGTGTCGTATTTACACTTTCCATTTTTAGCAGTGTGTATCGTTGTCGAGAAGCATCTTTAGGTGCGATATCTAGTGCGTCGTATGTATGCCGATGGCAGGGCTGGACGCTTGTCGAGACGAGATCAGCAGCCGTGTTTCATCGAGTACCGGTGTGGTAAGCTGTCCGTAGTCACCCTTTTTTTTTTTGCGTCGTGAATGGGTGCGCTGTTGCGTTCCACGCGCCTCATTGTGCCCACGAGAGTGAGCGGAGTATCGTTGTCGAGAAAAAATCAGCAGCAATGTTTCAAACAGAACAAAACAAAAAAGTATCGGGTGTATTTTTCTGTTCGCGCAATGGTCTTCTGCCTCACCTTTGTGCTTGGCACTGCTGTGGGTCGGCGTGACCTCTCGTCCTTCATGTGTCTAATGTGGTCCACGTCGAAACCCCAGTGAGCGCGTCAATGAAGACGTCGTTTCGTTGAAACTCTCGTTGTTGCCTTGCGTTCAAAAGGCAACCAAAACCTGGAACACTCGTGGTGCCTACCGGTAGGCCCGCCTACCGCGTTTTTTGCGCACCGAAACGTGCCTATTTGCATCCACAGCCCCTTCGAGCCGTAGAAGTTCCAGGTTTCGCGTGCCCGGCTACCGACACTCTGTCCCCGGTGCTGTGAAAATGGAACAATTGTCTTTTCTGTGATGGTTACGCGTGCAGCGAGTCATGTTTTCCACATACGTCCGCAGCGTACCCTCTTTCCTGAATGATAGTCACGATGCTTTACACAACTTGGAAACTACGGTGAGCTTAGCGCTTCAGAAATCATCCTGGTGGTGTAGTCTATCCCAACACGGGGTGTCACGGCTTTCTTCCGTGACATTCTTCTATAGCTTTCTTCTCGCCTGACCAAAACCCCCGTCTTATTTCGGCTTCAATCCAACGACATACGCAGCCTGAGCCCTTCTCAAGTTGTTTAGTTCCTCTCAGCATGTATGTCCGTGTTGGCGGCGTTTGTGAGTGTGTCTGCCGCTTGAGGGTTTTGGCGGAGTTGTTCAGTCGCTCATTTTTCATGCCCAAAATTGACGGAGAAACAGGGTGCTTCAAAGTCACGACACGCTTTAATCTGCTGCGAAAAGCATCGTTGAGATCTCTTCTGGTCTGCATCTGGTGAACACCGCGCCGTGGACCCCAACACGCTAGATTCGACTTTTGAAACAAACAAAGGCTTCGATTTGCGCACGACGATGGGGGTTATTTTCAGCGCCAGCTTCAGCAAGGTACCGTCGCGGTAGGACCTTGCGCCCTGAACCCCTGTAGCACAGCAGTGCAAGCTTGCGCCACTGAGCAGTGTTGCGGCAAGCTGTGCCACGGTTGACCAACAGCAAAAATCACGATCAATCGTTTTTGCAGAAGTAGCAGTGGACTACCAATCTTCGCGTACTACAGCTGTAGTAGCCGACAGCCTACATGTTTTTTATTTTACCCCGTCCCATCTTCTGTTGTCGCCAGTCTTCCCAGCGTCGATGTCCGAAAGAGAGCATCCGTCCATGACGTCGCGACTCATCCATCACCAAACACGGTGGTACGTGGTGTGTTGCGCGAAGATCTTGGTCCAGTGTCCATTTGTTCATGCTGGTGCCGGTTGCGATGTCACCGGCGAGGACAGCGAAAACACGAGCGGTGTAGATGTGAAAGCTCCGGTGGAGTTCTTATCTGGAGAGCCATTCGTTTTCAGGGGAAAAACCAGGAAACGTCCGCGCACAGCAGCAACAGCAACGACGGAGACGGCGAACCGGCGGAAGCACGATTTGGAGGAGTGAACAGTTACCACGACAAAAAAATTCCTTGTTGGAGAGAGTGCTACTAATTAAACGGACTTTGGTCACAACGGCTGGGGTATATGAAGCATAGAGTCAAGTTCGCGGCGACAAAAACGTCGCTGTGCGCCTGTCGTAGCGACAACTTGCGACGAACAACCCGCCACAGCCATTGACGCGTTTCATCGCAGACATTCACATCGTCTCTCCGCCTCGAGAATGCGAACCTTGAAAGTAGCACCAAGTTATAAACTTCAGCGATAACGCCTCTTGTTTTAGTGAACGAGAGGTTCTCACCTAGTCGGGCGGCCTCGTATGTGCTTCCTGCTCGCAAAAGTCCCACGGCCTTTTTCCTAGGATGTGAGGCGAGTTTCTGCAGCGCAGCTGTGGATGGATCCATGAGGTCGATCAAAACGTGCCCGAGGCCTGCGAGTACCGTTAGCGAGCGACAGCATTTGTCTGCGGTTTTCAGAGCGGCAGAGAAGAACAGGACAAATGGTAGTGCGGCTGATAGCGAACGGAACAGGAAAATGTTCAATGCCTTGCACCCCCAGCAATAATGCCCAAGCTGGCGGACATGTTATGACAGTACACGCAGTTGACATCACAAAGGTGAACTATCCACGTAGAACACTTCCAAGGCACATGGTGGCGGGTCGTTTCTTGTGTGACCTGAGCGAAAAAAATGTGGTGCTTGTTCGAATGAAAATGAACGATGCGGGGAATGTGTTCCAGTAGATTGGATGGATGAACGCCAATTGATCCTGATGACTATGTTGAGGTGCCCATCACCGTATTCACTGTAAGTGTGTTCCGGAACATAGACAAACCTGCAATGCTAGAGTAGAGATGCCCTGGGCAGCACCCATACGGACAATGAAATCACCTTTGAAGTTAACCAGACTGGCCTGTAGGGCAGCTAATTTGCCCTCCGTTGATGTTTTTCGGAACCGTGCCAATTCGAGAGCCGACGATATGTCTGGTGGCGTCGGTTGCTGCAGAGCTGTACATTGTCAGAGTGGTGGGAACAGTTGTAAGAAAGGTAGGTGGTATCAAGGAAATGCAACATTCATCGGGGCCTTGAGCTGTGCCAGCAGCTTTTGCATGACTTGTGATTCCCTCTACTACTTGCTGTGTGGTACCATGTGTAGATGAAAGGCTAATTAATCTCCTAGACTACTCAAGCGCTGACTGAGCAGTCTATTGGGTTGGCCTTATCCTCACATGGTACGAACAGCAGATGACCCGGGTGCACTGGTTGTTCGCAGAAAGCGCCACGTTTGCGAGAATGGGCAGCTATGTAGCTCTAGAAGACGAACCCGCTGTTACGTACTAAGTAGCTTCGTGCCTCGGCGTGGGGTCCCGATGTGATATGAAATAAAAGAGCCAGAAGCGTGAAAGCCGCGGCGCTGATCGGCAAAATACAGAAAATATCCGCTGGCGCGGAATCCTGTTCGTACATTGTGCTGGAGCGTCATAGCTCGGAAGGGTGTGATATCCCTGGAGGTGGCGCGAAAGCCCGGTGGCGCGTGGAAGCCGTGGTATAAACGTATTATCAAGGACGTGGAAGTCCTGGAAGAGTGGAAGCCGGGTGGAAGCCGCGGGTGGCGTGATAGCCGGGGAAACGACTTTTGATTACACACACAGAAGTGAGAAGCCACAAACCAAAAACGCATTTTGCGTTGTAGACACCCACACCCTCAATCAAGCAATATGCGGCAAAGTTGGTGCCGCCAAATCTAACCCAAAGCAACTGCTGTTGAACCCCCAACACTCCCCGCGCCAACTTGGAAGTTCTTGCTTTTGTAATCTTGTAATAACTTGTTGATGCTGTGAGTACACCCAACACCCGCAACACGCTGTATAATAGTTCGTTCGTAAAAGAAACGCTACTGTAGCACATCGCCATCACTCACAATCTAATCTCGCAGCTTTCGCCGCCAGTTGCTGCTCCTCGAGCACAGCTTCCCGAAGTTTGAGCACGAGTTCGACCTCTCGTCTTTTCATCAACCCGACCGTCTCCTGTTCCACTGTTTGCTTGACCGCGTCCAGAAGGTTGTCGCAAGTTACGTCGATACAGAAACAACGCCTTTCTGGACTTTCCACTGCGAGCGGTAAAATGTGGATGGTTGTACTGCTGTAGGAGGATGCAACGTGAAAAGCTCTTGGCTGTTGCGGTACAGCGGTACAGCGTAACAGCAGCATGTGGATATCTGGATCAACTTTGGATCGGTATATTTTACCTTCGCCAAATCTTATCCACACGAACATGCTCATTTGATACCAAGCACCAGAACGACAGTCTTCCGTCCGTACGACTGCTCCGGAAGACGCCTGAAGGGAGGTCTCTGGGGAGAGAGCAGGGAGGGAGGAGAGGGGGAGATGAGAGAATGTGACGTGTGTCGCGTCGCGAAACGAAAACGCGGCGAAACTACAAAACGCGGCGCAAACCCGTGTCAACAGTCCCGTTGAGGCCTTCACCTTTGCAAACCCCGTGCGTGGACAACGTTTTCACCGTGCAACACGGCACGGTGCCTTGTGCAGGCTCCTCGCTCTGCTGCTACCTCGATCAAGGTGGGAGGGGACATATGAAGTGCATTATGCAGACATAGCCCAAGTTTTCGAGTTATACGGACAATGCGACGGCGAAGAAACAGAGCTGGACGTATTCCCCCGCATTTTACCGCGGTGCTGGAAGGGTGGAAGTGCTAGGACGCAAGAGTTGAAGCAGAATACTCTCTTCGCTGCTTCCTAGGATATCCTGGAGACTTTCTCTGAATCCTTTTAGGCTGCATGATGTTCGACGGTTGCCTTTTTTTGTCCATGATGTGTTTATTATGCGAACGGTTTCGAGAAGTGACTGAGTCACACGACAACCTCTGCAGCGTGCTCTGCACAGAGCAGTAGGTCCCTTACATGTAGCAGCTACCAGCAGCGTGGAGCTTAATGTATTTCGAATGGAGTGTTCTCCTCAACAAGATTACAATGTTGATCACGCCTGCAAGCACCCGCTTCTTGTATGTACTGCTGTAGGGCGATAATATTGTTTGCGCCACCACGTTGGTCAGGGGACAGGGGATGATGACTGATTGTGCCGCAGTGCCGCGGGTCACAAATACGGCTGTAACGATTACGTTGCAGCATAGTCTATGTATACCTACATCGAACTAGGAGAGTTCCACCCCATGACACCGCTTTTTATGGCTCCAAAATGTTGCAAGAAAAGTTGAAAGTTCTGCAACTTTTTGCAACTTTCCTAATGTACGCTCAGTATTGGAGCCAGAAGTTGCGCAAAGAGTTTCAGCAACTTTTTCTCGGGAGCAAAAAGTTTCAATCTGGACGAAAAGTTCTGCAACGTTTTCGCGACGAAGGGTGTCGAAGAAAAGTTGCACGGCGCAACTTCCGCCAATTACATAGAGGCAGAGGTTGCCCCCTGGTCTACAGGTGTCCACAGTCAAGTCCCGGAGTTCAAATCTCTACTAGTAGTGCAGCGTTTGTTCATGAGTACGCAAAGTCCGACTTTGGAGTGGATGAGGGAATGTGCTGTACCAATCTCGAGATAATATCGAAAGCAAGCAACGGTCGGCGAGGCATACAATCTGAATACCCTAGCTGACACACACGTATTTCGCAAAAATGCAGGGCCAGTTCTCCGGAACAGATTGACCAAAGAAGAAAAGGTGCCGGCATTGCCATTGCCCCCCTGCAGCTTTGAAGGTACGGTGCCCGTGGGACGTCCGAAACTTTTTTGTGATTCGATTGAAGCGGCTCAACTTGACTCGTCGTTTGGCGGCCCAGGGCAAAGGATGAAGTCCGACCTTTTCGCACAAGACCACTATCGAGTTCTAGGCGTCGATCGAAATGCCACCCACGAGACCATCCGAGAGGCCTACTTGCGGCTGGTCAAGAAGCACCACCCAGACGTCAGCAAGGGCGCCCAGAGCGAAGACCAATTCAAGGCGATTGCGTCGGCGTGGGAGGTGAGAATCATACCGTTTCGGCTGAACACCACAACAACACAAGTGTGTTTGGTTCGTGGCGTCCCGTTGAAACGTACGACAAGATTCGGCCTGCGGCGGAAGCGATTCATCGGGTACATCTCTCCTTCAACGTCTCTCCTGCACCTGCGGTTCTGAAAAACAGCGTGCTGTGCTTTGCTCTATATCCCGAAACGGTCGACGCAGGTGATGGGGGACAAATCCAAGCGTGCGCTATACGACGAGAGAATGGCAGACCCCGCATTTCGACATCGGACAGAGTACAGGCAGCGACAAGGAGGGGCCCCGGGAGGGGCTCAGCGCACTGGGGGTCGAAGATCATACGCCCCACGTAAGACACCAGCACGGCATGGCTACGTTTTGCTAGCCGCACGGGTGGGCTTGACACCGTGCGCACGAGGGATTCAGCAGACCCGTAGTTCTCTCTGATTGCGGCATTCTAGTGTTAGAGCCGTTGCGCTTCGACGTGTTGTGTAAAATGTACCGTGCTCATCTGTGCATGCGGTGGTCACCCATCAACAAACTCGAAAGCGTGTGTCGTGTTCGCCAATGGTGGCGCGTTGCTCCCCCTCCGCACTCACTCTGGTACTGCTGGCGACGCGCTGCTCTTTGCCCTAGGGGAGAACCCTCCCAGGCGCTGACTACTGCTGTCGCGCGCGTGCCCGCTGCTCTCCAAACCTCACGAACGCGCGTCGTTTTTCTGTAGCACGGGGGCACACCCGAATGCCACCAATTTTGCGGGCTTTCGAGCTCGCGACGCACCCTCGAGTGCTCATGGTCGGCATTCCTCTAGCTTGTGTGGTGAGTCTTTAATGGCACGAGAGAGACACGCATCGGTTTTTATCAGCTGCCTAGGCAACTCTTTTTCGAGTAGCTGTCGATCAATCTTCAACTGTGCCCGGCAACACTTGGCAACAACCGAGGTGCAAAACAGTGCTTTGTGTAGACGATTGTTAACTTGATGCAGAACATGTCCCGGGGCAATATCTCGGACGCGTAGTATTTCTGTGATTGAATGCATGTCTTCGAACGGACATGTACACACTCGATGCATGAAATCCGGGTGTTGTCTGACCACTACGCTTACGTCTTCACCGCAGCCCTTGATGTACTTGGAGACCTCTCTGGCTTTCCTAAAATTGTTTCAAGAGCAAGCAGACGAATACCGTCGGCGTGCTAGTCCCAAGCTCCCTTTTCTTATTCTCTCTTCTTCCGTCATGCCGGGCACACCTTATTCACCAACGAAGGAAAACAACAACACACGTTCCACTTGATTGAGAAAAGAACGGAGAGTCATGCGTCAGGGGCGGGGCCCCGCAGTCCGCAACTGACGCAAACGCAAAGGTACTGTGACGAGCTAACCCTAACAAGCACTGACCCTAGCCACAAGTCGTCCTGTAGACGCACGAAAAACTAGCTAGCTGTTCGGCCGGAAGTTAGGTTTGATACACATGTCGCCCGAGCGCTCCCGATGAGAATAGCCGCGACCGGCCCTGAACGGAGAGAGAGGGCACTTCTCAGAACGCCCATCCATGCGTACCGTAGGTGGCAACTTGAATTGTAATAGTGGAACTGCCCATTATTAATAATGGCACTGCCCTGAATAGTGACATATTCTCCTCTTGCCCCTACATGCCACTATATCGGGTCACCTACTGTATGCACTTTTTGTTGCGAGGGGCTCGATGCTGTCAACAATCTCCTCGCTAATGACGCTCGCTGATGATATGTCCAGTACGCACTGTCACACCCGAATGCAGGAGACCACCAGAACGCGGACCGACCGGTAATTTAGTCCCTCTCACTCGGCAGAACAAAAAACGTCCGGCCGAACTTGCATTTCTATTTTTCGTCGCAACAAACGTCAACCCACATCATGAATGACTTACAACGCAACATCATGATTGGCATACTTTACTCTGTTTGCGGTTGGAGATGTGCAACGCTACGCGAGCAATATAGGCGTTAACCGTAGGATGCGGAAGCTACAGTGTGGTGACAAATGTAAAAAAGAACATCGCCAGACAAGACCAGACAACCATAACCACCACGGACGAACTACTGTACCTCAATAACCCTGCCGTCCGTGTTAGATGCGCACCGCTACACGATAGGTGGACGGGGGACCCCAAAAAACAAAGCATGAACAACCAAACAAAAAAAACATAGAAGTACGAAAAGAGCGAGGCCAAGAGAGTGAGCCAGGCCCGCCAGGATTCGGAAAGGAGGCGGAAGAGAGCATAGAAAAAGCACCCTCCTTGCCGCTTTGAATCCCCGGAAGCTGTCACATAGGCACTGCAGCAAGCATCATGGTCATGACCATTCCCTGCAGCACCCATCGTCTCCAATACAGCGGCCGGATGCACGGATAGTAGCCTATTTAGTCCACTCAAGTCAGCAAGATGAAAATGAAAAACAATCAATCGCGGTTGGCGTTGTCGTGGGGACCCCACCGGCGAAAGGCGAGAGAAGAGAGCGGAGAGAAGACAAGGCACCCTCGTCCCTCTGACCACTTTGGCTCGAGATCAGCAGTTGAGACCCTGTCGGGCATGGGGTGGGCTATGCGAAAGAAAATGACAGGGGTAGAAAAAGTGAATTTAGGTCGATAGAGACCAAACTCTACCGAGCTTGGGAATGTACACATGTAGATAGAAGTCAGACGTTACTGAGCAGAGAACGAAAAATACCACACGAACGATCCTGGTCGAACCCAGCAGTTCCTGCACCGCCGCTAGCAGATGGACTATTATTGTTGGTGGAGACCATGACTTGTCTTTCGCGCGAGAAAGGTTGAGACGATCTGACGCGCACCCGGAAATAACAGCCGTCTTCGACCGGCCCTCAGCGGAGAGAAAGAAGAGGGCACTTCTCGCAGCGCCCACCCATGCGTCTGCACTGTATGCGGCGCGGGAGTCCACGCTGTCAACAATCTCGCTAATCGTGCTCGCTGATGATCTGGCTGGTACGCACGATCACGATCACACCCCGATGAAGAAGACCTTCAGAACGCGGACCGGTAGCTTAGTCCCGCTCTTTCGGCAAGAACCAAACACCCCCGGCCGAAACTTGCATTTGTAGTCACAAGAACATCATGATATAGTCCTGATTGATTGGCGTACTATTTTGCTTGCCGTGGGGGGATGCGCATCGCTACCGAGAGAGCGAGGAAGGCGTTAACCCCTCGCATAGCTTCCTACTACGCACATGAGTGTGCTGCCGTCAACCCTATCCCTCGAGCTCACACACAGCCATACCCGATACATGCCAAGAAAAACATCCCCCGACAACAACTGAAATTAATTGGTGGGTGGGCCAGGGCGGATGGAGGATGAAGGACCCCAGAAAACAAGGCACGCATACAACACAATATGCATATGCATTGTACAACCATAAAATAGAGCCAGACCCAACAGGCTTCAGCGAGGAGGCGGAGGAGAGCATAGAAAAAGCACCCCCGCCACTCTGAACCCCCGGAAGCTCTCACGTTGGCACTGTCACAAACATCATGGCCACGCGCATTGCCTGACAGCGCCCATCGTGTCACATGCAGCAGCCGGGTGCACGGGTAGCCTTGTTCACTCAGACAGCAACAAAGAAAACTGCGGAATCTACGGACGTACTTTCTTTCTTCGTGGACTGTTCTTGGTGGTAAATGTTGTAGTGACAACCAAAACAATGAACATGACTAAGGAGAGACGAAGCGCCACGGACGAACTACCTCAAATACGCCTGCCTGCCGTCCATGTTAGATGTACACCGTTACAGTACAAGAAAAGCATCGACCGTTCTCATTACTACTACGTGTGTACACAAGTAGAGAGATTGTGCTGCCATCGGCCTTATCTCGCTCAAGTTCCCAATTACGTACGCACCAAACATGCCTGCTTGCGTGCGGCGGACCGTATGTATGCGTTGTTAGTCTTTGTCTCGAACTGCTGTTGTTGTTCATGGACGACGACACAGACAAAAAAGCAAGAGACGCGCATCGTTACCTGTACGCGAGCAACTTGCTGCCTACGCGAGCAACGCGCGCATCCTACAGAGACGATTACCTTACGAGCTTTGCAGCACAAGCTTTTTCAGCACATTTCGAGCACCACTCAGCAAGAAATAAATCACACACAATAACGCAAACCAAAAATATGGAGGGTTGTGGCGCGCAGCATGCAGGACCCTATTTCTCTGTTCGACCGGCCATTCCCATGGCGAAACAGACGAGGAACAGTCAAGGCTGAGTCGTGTCGGTCACAGGAGGTGGAAGCTGCTGAAACTCGGGGAGGGGTCATTGTTTGCGATTCCCTACCGAACCATACTTGAGGCGCCACGAGATTCTCACTGTGGCTCGAGATCAGCATTTGAGACCGGGTCGGGCAAGGGGTGGGCTATGCGAATGAAAATGACAGGGACAGAAAAAGTGAATTTAGGTCGATAGAGACCCGAGCTTGGGAACTTAGAACCAACGAAGATGTTGATCTTCCATCTTTGTTGAGAAGATATTAGGTTTGAAATTATGTTTTCATGTCGCGATTGCGCCTAGAAGAAGGCGCGTTAGTCTGAAAGTCCCGGTGGGATAGTAGCGTCTGCTGAAGCCATGTTAGGAAACGCTAGAAACACAGCCCAAAGTTGCAGGTGTTACCGGCGTAACCTGGCTTCGTCTGGATGGCATGTTAAGCAGTTCCCACCCTGTGATGCTCGTACCCTTCGAAAAGTGTGTACACAGAGCCGTCCACGGCACAGCTATGGCCGTGGGGGCTGCAACAAGTAGAAATTTACGGTTAGCAGCAGGTGTCAGTAGTTGAAATTTCAACTGCACTTTTCTGGCAACCGAATAAACTTACCGTTCGACGGGGGTCAGTTCAATTCACACTTTCGGCGGACGCCAATTCGAATCCACACCTATGATGCGACATGGGCTTGCTGTGCCTATACCTTCCTCCACCCGCTTCGTCGTCTCCTACGCACAACCGATCGCATGGCAGGGCTACATGATTTTCGGCGATGATGACTCTGAAGTGCCCGGCAGCTCAGTCAAGGTCGATGCCTGGCTCAACCCTAGGTTAGAACCGTAGAGAAGAGGAACTACAAGTCGAAACCCTCCCTCCCCGCAAAAGTACAACTTGGGGAGAAGTTGACAGTGAGTGCCAGGGTGTGGGCAGGGTGGGGGGGGGGTGGAAAGCGGCATGCGCCTTCGCTGTAGCAATTGCTGTGCCACGATCTTCGCCGACACCCCCTCGGGACCCTCTCGACAAAGACCCCGCCTAAATTGCTACGACGGCGTTGTACGTTTAGCTTTTTGGCCGAGGTTGTCGCTTAGCGTTTACAACTAGCCGCAGAAGCTGTTCGTTTAGCCGCGTTTTGGAGGGACAAGATGGACTCGCGGTGTACGTCTTGTGAAACTCGCACTCTCCCTCTCTCGGTGAAGTGCGCTTGGTGGCGGTTGGGGTACGGAAGGCGGACATCCAGCGTCCTCCCTCGTCTGTAAAATTAGCTTGTGCGACCCTAACCCTCGCGCCTCTGACTAAGAAGCACTAGATAAAGTGTTGTGGTGCCAAAAGGGGAACAGTACCTCTCTGTTTGCTAACGCCGCTTTATTCGTTGAGACCTCCCTTTTGCGCGAAACCTCATCACGACGGTCTCCCCAAGAAACGAAAAAACCCGTTCCGCAAACCCGCCTAACAGCACGCAACGATGGGAAACTCCTGCACCATGGGATGAGGAGTTCAGAAAGCGGCGCCACCTTGTTCAAAAGGTGTGAAGCGTTTTCTTTATTTGCGGAAATTCTCGTCGTATCATGCACGGTCCAAGTCTAGGGCCGTTTTGGCAGTGGGGCCGTTTTATGCCCCGTAGCAAAGGCCGCGGGTGCGGCCTTTTTTGGCCGGAGTTGAGCGCTCCGGGATATTCCTACAACAGCAGTTCCCTTGACGATTTTCCGTGGTCACGAGCTTGTCAGTGGGTTGTGCACAGTATTGCAAACATTGGACAGATTTTCTGGCGATATGGGTTGGTCGGGGTGTTCGACGGTTTCCAACCGTAGGGCCCCTTGGTAACAAACATGGGCAACGAATGACCCCAACCGCCCCCCCCCTCCTACATTTCTCCCGCGCCTGGCAACAACAACAGGTTGATCGAAGCATCGTGCACGAGGCTGGCAAGAGATTATGACGAGCTTCGCGGTGGCCAAACAGAACATGGTGCAGCGTCGAGTCTTGAGCGCGCGCATGTGTAATAAGCCGGTTCCGGGAAAAGCGTCGCCGCCGCTTCATTGCTTGCTAAGCAGCTGGCATGCTAGAATGGACGCCCTCCGGCTCGCCTCTATTTCGCCTTGTTATGCATTTAGTGTGATTATCTTGTGTTTTGGTTTTCGGGGCGTCGGCAGCTATAATAATACGTGTAGACTGTACAAACACGAGTCGAGTGGGACGTCCATCAAGATTTCGTGATTGTCTGGCAGAGATCCGATTCGTGTGGTGTCGTGCTGATTCTCTCGCGCAGGCGGTCAATTCGCCGTGTTTTCGAAGCAATCTCCGCACATGGGCGTATGTCTGGTGGCTTTGCACCTCTCGTTGAATTCGTGCTTACGCGTGGTGCTCTAGACACTTTGTGTCCAAGCAGTTACTATCGAACGCTTGATTCCTCACCCAACTCGAGGGTTTCGTCGAGACGGCTGCTGTGTGTTTTCATGGAGTGCTGTCGAGATAATCCCTCCCCCCCTTTCCCCGGTGTTTGCCATCGGGATTGGGTTTTCGTCGCGTGGCAACGACGTTGGTGTTTGCCATCCGGGTTGGGTTTTCGTTACTTGGCAACGACGTTGTAAAACAAGCCCCCCCCTCGGCGTTTGCCATCGGGATTGGGTTTTCGTCGCTTGGCAACGACGTTTTAAAACAAGCCAACTCACTTCGTGAACTCGGCAACCAGGTTACCGTTTTTTTTTTTTACCTCTGTTTTTTTTTGGCGGTAACCATGATGGTGGTCGAGTAGATCATGTTGTGCGGGGTGGAGAACCCTCACTCCGCGCAACGGGGGATGATCGCACCACGTTGTGTTAAAATGGTCAAGCATCCTCGAGGCAGTTACACAGCAGTGCTTACAACTGTCTCTGGAAGTGAAAGCACCAGAAAATAAATCAAGTCATACGCAGCTGTCATCCGTACGCAAGGAAGTAAGCACAAGATGCCGAACACCCTTAGCAGGATGCAGCTCACCCTTCATGCGACTCGCCGAATACCTCACGGCTCTTCGCGCTTGGTGATGTGAGAGCCTGGTCCGTTGAGAACCCGGCGTGCTCCGTCCCGGCTTTGTAGGGATGCGAGGTCAATGGTCTAACGACTACGGCATGCACGACTATGAGTACACCCCCCCCCCCCCCCCCTCTCACGTACCCCCATATGAAACCCCCCCATCGTGAAAAAAGGGCGCCCCAATTTGTTTTCACTTGGCTGCGCACCTCCCC